TTTTTTTTTTTTTTTTTTTTTTTTTTTTTTTTTTTTTTTTTTTTTTTTGTTTTTTTTTTTTGTCAGGTGAAATTTGTGCAGAATATTTTTTTAAAATTTTTACGGAAACTTTTACAACAGTCAATTGCAAATTTATGAATTTTTCCGCAAAATTTATGATTTTAATCTCTGATTTGAAGTCCTTCTTTTAAGCATTTTATCACATATTGCACAGTTCAATTGAATACAGTAAACTAATTTAACATATTCATTACTGATTTACCTCTTATGAAGACAAATAATCAAATTTGGTTTATTTATTACGACTACAAGTCATTTTTAAATGATAAAATAAAATATTACGGAGTTAACAAGCAAAAATTAAAATATAATTTTGCTATTATAGGTTTGATACTAAATTGTTAATAAAGAAATGAAAAACTTAATGAAAAATAATTAAATAAAAAAAGCAATTGTAAAAGCAAAAGTAATTTTAATTCTGAGATCCAAAACATTTAAATGTACGATGACTTTCGTGGGGTAACATTTTTGTTACTATTTGATTAAAAAATTAACTTTTACTTTGTTTTTAAAATATTCTGTGCAGTTTTGCTAAGAATAGATTATACATCTTATTATCAAATACCCATTGTGAAATATTCATTTTAATTATTGAATTTTTATTACCTATTTCAATATAAGTTATAAGTGAGTGAGCACTTTTGGGAGCCACTGTAATTATTAAAAATTATTGATATATAATCACCTGAAACGGTTTTCTTTTCCTTAATGAAAATATATTAAACAATACTTATCCAAGGTTTTATTGGTTATTCTGATTTTGTCATTTTGTAGGTACACTTTAAGCAAATACTACTTAAAGTAACACATTAAATTCAATAAAAATAATTAAAATTATTCAATAAAAACAATATATTCTGCAAGCTAAACATATTATTTTCTCCACGTCTTAATTTTTTAAAAATTAATGTTGTACCAGAACATTAAAAAATAATGAAAAAATATCTTGTAAGAAAATCATTTTTTTTTCAAGATATGTTTAAAAAAAATGACATTTTGAATAAGATATTTTATAATACAGACACTTTTCTTGTACACATCCTACACTTTATAAGAAAAAAGGAAAAAAAACACAAACCTGGAAATTTTAAGATTTTTACCTGGAAAAATCAGGGAAATTTGAAATCTGTTTTGAGTGGCCATACTGTCTTTACAACTAAATTAATCTTGAAAACTTACCGAGTGAAATAGTAACTAATAAACCAGCTTATTCATATTTATTTTTATTAGAAAAACTTTGATTTTAAACCATGAAAGCTAACTCTTATTACAAATAATGTTAACATTCAATTAGGTAGTTATAACATATTATTTTTGAAATTTTTCACTGTTCTTGTAGATTTAATTGTGTTCTGAAAGTTGTTCTCATTCTTTATGAAAGTTGTTAACTGTTAAATTTTAAAAAGTTTTATTTTGTAATATTTTAGTCACACTTTTATAATTTTGTAAATAAATCAGGGGCCTGTCCAGGCCAAATTTACTACCGTTGTTTAGTGGTACCTTCACAAATTCAACTTTAGAAAAAACGGTAGTTTCACAAAATACTTTTTCTTGAAATTTTATTTTTGTTTGCTGTAAGAAACGATAAATTCATATTTTTGTGTTGATAATAACATAGTATAATAGTTGTAATACAATTTTTAATTTTCACAAAATAGGTACCTCTCAGAAAAACCTAGACAGACCCCTGTAAATATTAGATATTATAAAGACGACTGGAATATAAATTAGTAAAATCCTGTTTAAAAGCAATTTATTAAAAAAAAAAATCATAAAACTTTTAGTGCACTGAAAAACTTAAAAAAAAACACTTAAAATAACTTAAAAATACTAGTAAGAAATAATTCTAAATTTTATTCATACATGAAATTACTGTAAGATTTTTTATATATGTATTTTTTTGTGTGGATAGTTTTATTTGACTTATTTTATGTACAACTGAAAACTTACTGAGCAAAATAGTAAATCATATTTATTTATTTTTATAAATAGACTTCAATTTAATAAATCATTGAAGCTAACTTTAATCACGAATAATATCATGTTAATGTTAATATTCAATTCACGGTAGTTACAACTAACAAATATTAGCATCAGTTGAAACTTTTTCTCTGTTTCTGTTGATGTAATTGTGTTCTAAACATTCTTTATGAAAGTTGTTTACTATTGAAAATGTTTAAAAAAAAGCTTAACTTAGTAAAATTTCAGTCATGTTTTTTCAATTTTGTAAATTAATATTAGGTATTAAGATGACAATCAGGCTATTACTTCATGTATTTCTGCCTAAGATCAATTTTTTTTTTTTTTTTTAANTTTTTTTTTTTTTTTTTTTTTTTTTTTTTTTTTTTTTTTTTTTTTTTTTTATAATGGCATAAATTTTTAAGCACACACTAAAGAAAGTTTATCTAAAGATTTGCGAAATGTTTGTATGAATGAAAGAATGGATTCATAATAAATCTTTATGAATTAAAAAATAAAAACATTCCCAAAATGAAACTGAATTGATAAAATGTGAATTTTTTTTTTTCATTTAAGGAATATCTTACATAATTTTGTTTTTATTATTTTTATTGCCCTGTGATATATACAGTGGAGCATCGTTTATACGACGCCCAAGGGACCACCGAAAAACGTCGTATAATCGATTTTTACTTTTAAAACTGAAACTAACTCTGTTTTCAGTTAATTTTAATGTTTAGCGTGTTGATTTGCATAAATTTCTAAATTAGACAAAGCAAAACAAACAAATAACCAAAGAAGAAAAATTGCAGTGAGCAATTTGAATGTATGTTACTTTAAATTATATTTTCTTGCTATTAGTCTCTACAATGCAATGCTTTGAATAGCGAGTTGAACTTACTACTTTCTATGATGAAATTTTAGATTCTAATCACGGCCAAATCTAATGGCTGAAGCGCACTTGTGCAATTTGCAGGAAAAAAAGAGAGCTTTTACCTTTTCCAAAATAATTAGTGTCGATGGGTGCGCTTGACATTGGTCGATGAATAGCAAAATTTTTATTTTATCCCTCTTCGTAACATTGTCAAGTTTTTTCAGTCATCTAGTAAAAATTACGGTCGTCATCCAAGCATTCTTGTTGGCACCCTTTTCTGTATCACTCATGTTGGCAAATTCCGCCCTTTTTTAAAATACACAAGAAAAAATAAAAAATTAAGTAAACGTGAACAAAATCTAAAAACCGACGTATAACCGATTCCGTGCGTCGTATAAACGATATATTTTTACATTAAAATGAATCGGAATGATTTGGGACCACACTAAAACGTCGTATAAGTGATCGTCGTATAAACGATGCTCCACTGTAATTAATTATATCTTTAATGTTGAAGTCGAGCTACACCATTGAAAATAATGGTAATTTGTTGAGTGTGTTGTATAATGTAAGATTGAGAAAATAGGTTTGCAGTCTACTTAAAATGTCTAGATACATTGTGACGTATGTTTGCATACACTTTAATTGTTGAGGTTTATATTAGTCTTGAGGTTCTATTTCTGGGTTGAACAAAATTTCATGAACACTGAATTTCGTTTTACATTTTGAAATTAATAAAATCTAAAAAAGTAATTATTTAATTGTAAAATATTTGGAATAATATATGATTTTTTTTTTTTTTTTTATAGGTCAAGTTATAAATCTTGGCTGAGGAAGCTAAATCCTTTTACTAAAAAAGAAAAGGAAGAGCAACCAGTTAATTGACTTTATTTTATTTGTACATAGTTTTAAAAATAAAGATTAGATTTTTTTCACATGAAAATTATAGTATGTTTGATTTATAACAACTTATGATTTCAAAATATTTTTCCTTCTAAAAACAGTTACGCATAAACTTATAATGTTGGTAAGTCGTATTGAAATATTTTAAAGTTATCATTTTTCTTTCATTATTATTACTAACACCATTGCACATAGTAATTCCCCCCCCCCTTTCTATTCAATATTGTATTTTAAAGCTTTTTTACTGGTAGTACACAACACAAATTGCTTCATTTTTATGTTGATTTTTCATTTCAATATCATTGCACTATAAAAAAATCTGAAGCATGCTTTATCCATTTCTTTCACCAGTATCAGTTTTGTTATAGTACATTAACTACATTTCTTTTATCATACCATTGAGAATTTATAATTTTGTCATAGGGAAAAATACAAGCTTAAAAACTATTTGAAAAAGGAATATATATGTTAATTTTGCACATTGTATTCTCCTCAGTTATAAAAATTTCAATGCAAAATGACAAAAGATTTTTTATTGTCGTCAATAAATAGCTCTACCAAATTGTGCATTTTTTGCAATTAATATTCACCCCCATATACTCACAGTTCTGAACAAATCTTAAGAGGCTATGAATTTTTATTTACTTATTATTTTTATTTGTAGAGCCAATCAGCATTTCCAATAGCATTTGCAATCAGCAATTGCAATGAAATGATAAAAATGGCTATTACATTTTCATTGGTGTAACTTAAAAAAAGTTTTTATGGGATGGGCCATTGCTACTCAGTAAGTCACAAATATATAGTCATTTTTTCTTTCAGTCAAAAATTGAAATGGGCTAAATGAAATATTTCATGAATGGTCAATTAAATTTCTAGGAGGGTGGCCGAATATTAAATGTGCCTGACTAAAAAGTCAATGGTTGCAGGTAGAGATGTTTCTCTCTGTCTGTAGTGTGATTGTGGACCACCCTATGAGCAGGACTGTGCAGTACCGTCTTTACGTATGGGCACACCCGGGCAGTGCCCAGGGGCCCCAGGCACTCAGGGGGCCCTTAAGAATCTTACTTTTTATAAATTGTATTAAAAAAAAACAACTAAGAATAAACAACTTTGCATTATATAATTTTTAAAATAAATCCCAAACAGCAAAATATGGTTTATTTTCACTCAGCAAAAACCTTTTAATGTAAACCTATAAAGGTTGGTTATGCGATGCGGCTTACGTGTAAACCTTCTAACCTTAAAACGAGATCTGTGGCAATCTGCTCTATTCTACGCACATTACCCTAGTCCAAAACCTTGGAAAACAACCTTCTATATAAAAACCTTAAATCTAGGTTGACTTAGAGTTTTCAAGCGTGAAAAAAATCCTTTATTAGATCTAGTCTCAAGGCGAAAATATTCTTTAACCTAGGTAATTATAAGGTTTCTTTTCACAAAGTCTTGCATGCTCAGCTAAAATCCACCTTGTCATGAAATTTTAATGAGCAATGCAGTTTGATCCTATCGTTAGTGTGACGTCAACTAAACCGTCATTATGGACCTAAGTGACCATTTTACTTAAGTGACAACACTTATTTAGAAAAAAAGTCACACTTTAGAAAACACTTATTTAAAAAATAATTTGTAATCCTTTTAGGATGAAAGGTTTAAAAACTGCAATATTTTTGCCTTATTAAAAAAACGTTTTTAGTACAAACACTTTCGTTCGACAATAAGAAGAAAATTCTGACAGAAGGTAGCCGTAAGGTTGCATGCTTTCTGGGATATATGCTAGAGTAAAAAGTGCGAATTTTTTTCCTAAGAATAGTGATTCATTACCATGCAAACACCAATAGTTTGAATATTTTATCACTAGGAAAAATAAAAAGTCAGCCGAAATCTATTTTTCTTCGTTAAAATGAAGTTTTTAGGAGCTCAACTCCCTAAGTGATAATGCCTCTGAATATGCTTGAGATCACCGAAGTCAGCATCACTGGCTACGGTCAGTGTGAGGGTGGTTAACCACTTGGATCAGTCTGCGTAGGGACCGAGGATGTGCGGTATGGGTCCTCGTTAAACTGTTCTACCGTAAAGTGCTCGACTTCGCGTACAGGTCATTGGGCTACCGAAGCGGGAGTGCCATCCCCTCATCAGAGGATCAAAATTGTGATGGCATGTCTTCGGATCATCCTCAGGGATGTTTCCCAGACCGTCGCCAATAGCCCGTTGTGCAGCTCCAGTGTGACGTAAATGAACTACAACAACAACTAAATATGCTTGACAACCAACTCTGTTCAGTATTTATAGTTAATTAAAGTAATAATTGACAGTGTTTCGAATCATACGACAGCAACTTTTAAACTGGTTATGTCTGATGTGCAATGAAAGATGTTTAAATATTAATATTATAATGACGGACTTTTTAATAGTTTGACGAAACAATTCATACCTTTTGAATTTCTTTAATTGCTATACCCTAGCCGCGATGGCTCAGGGGATGGAGCGTTTGCCTTCCAATGAGGTGAACCGGGTTCGAACTCAATGATGGCTGGTCGATACGAATCTGCATCCGGCTTGCACAGACCACAGTGCTGACGTGAAATATCCTCAGTGGCAGACGGATCATGGGTTAGAGTCCCTTTGCCGTCAGACTAACCGTGGGAGGCTCTCGTGGTCTTCATCTCCATGTAATGTAAATGCGGGTTAGTTCCACTGAAAAAGTACTCCACGAATGCAAAATTTCTCCCGATACTTGATACAAGAGCTCCTTTGTTTTCTATATTGAGTTCAAAAGTAAAAGGCTACAGAGTTGAACATTAGAACTCGTAAACCCAAAAATTGGGTCAGCTGTTCAATGACGGTTATAATAAAAAATGAGAAAATTGTTTAACCCTTGGTCGGGATAGCCTGCTTGGTAGGGCACTGGGCCCATGTATAAGAGTTCGTAGGTTCGATCTCCGCCAGCCGAAAACTCCCCGTGTAGTAAATGGTGATTGATGCACGTTAAGTCTGTCGAGTCACAGACGCCTCCATGTTCCCATAGCAAGTCATACCTCTGGGGGTACCGATCCAGGAGTTTCCTTGTCTTCTGGATTGGTTCAAAATTACAAGGCTGCGGAATTGAACATTGGTAGTCGTAAACCCAAAAATTGGGTCTTTTACAAAATAAAATGCAATAAATTTTTTATACCCCTATGCTTTTTAATTTACTTATTTTAATTAGCTTCTTCGTTTTGAAAATTACTTACTATTTGAGGATTACAATTTGTTAGCATTTAAGAAAAATTATGCCTAGTTAAAAAATGCTTTATTTTATGTGCATTGAGTTTTTGGGGCTATAAAAATGTGTTTAACTTTGTTAAAATTATTGCATATCTTAAAAATGCTTAATTTTATGCATGTGAAGTTTTTTAGTTCTATTTTAAACAGTATGAAATTTAATAGGGGCCCAAAAGATTTCAGTGCCCGGGGGCCCTGCTTGCTATTAAGACGGCCCTGGGACTGTGGCATTGTGGTGTGGATAATGTTGCTTGCCTATGTGACCTGGGTTCATTGGTGCACACTGAGTAATGTTAAATGAGCCACAATTCCAGCATCTTCCAAGTCAAACGAAAAGTTCAGTGCCTGCGCCGTCTCCAAAATATGCTGTTTCTTATTTTTATAGCAGCAGGCAACTCTTGATTCAGTGGGAGGGTGGAGTTCTATAGATAAGTAGACTATAGTATAAGTAAAATAGTACTCACACCAGAAGTGACTATTTCCAAAACCACATCAGTCCCCAAAACAATTATATGTCACTTTTTTTTATTGTTCATGGTCTTTAAAAAAGCTAAAAAAATTTTTTTCGGGATATACACAAAGTAGTTACAATAATAAAAAATATTTTATGTTTAAAATTCTGTTTGATTTTTTTAAAAAAATTACTATGATAGTTATAGCTAACCTTATCACATAAATGAGTCAAGTTTTTTAAAATATTTTGTCGCTTATCGGATTTTTTATAATATTTTTAAAGATTTTAATGAGACAAAACAGGGGAAAATAGACACACAATAAAATGTTTTATCAATTTTATTTCTTATTTCAATAAGATCTCTTATTGAAGCACATACATCAAAACACTTAAGGAACTGTTATGATATTTATGTTTTTATCACAATATATTGAACAATCAAGGTGAGTATTGAAATTTTAATTTGAGAAATAAAATTTAATACAATAATTGTATTTGCTAGAAAAGAAAAAGAATGATTTCAAACTGTATGTAATGTTGCGTGAGGAAATTATATAATCTAAGTTATGAAACGTAATAAATTATTGCAGGCAAGTTAAAGAAAAGACTAGCATATAAGTAAAACACAGCTCTGTAGATGCACAGCAATATGCTATTAAATATTTAAATGCAATTCTTATGGTTAACTCTGAAAGTTAATGCAAAATAATATAATAATGTTTTGTATTTTCACAAATCTTGTATACATAGATTAATTTTTATTTTAATTTAAAAAAAAAAAAGACTGGTGATTTTATGCTTATTTTCAAACATTTATGGATTATTTTTTAACAAAATTTGGCCTTTTTTTTTTTTTTTTTTTTTTTTTTTTTTTTTGCTCTTAAAACAAAATATACATTGTTGTTGCTTAACCAGAAGTGTTATAATATTGCTTGTGGGATTGAAAAAGAAAATGACTTTGAAAGCTGTATTTGTATACTTTGGCTGATAATGGATTAATCACAACTTGTGATTAACTTTATGCCTATTTTTATAATCTTAAATATTATGATTGAGTTAATTAATTAAGTTTCGAACTATTATTTTAAAAAAAATTGAGTGTGGTTTTCGTACTAACGGTAACAATAGAAATTATGGTATATTGTACCAATTATGATTAATAAAAAGTAATAGTTTACTATTTGTTTGCATATTGTCTGCTATTCTAAAGTTTATTTTAATTCTAACTGTTGGACATTTAAAATTCAATGAAATGAAGACGATTCTTGTTTTTTATAATCATTAATAAATGGAATAAAGGTATGCTTTTAAAAATCACTTTAATGTAGATCAAAATTGAAAGATTGAGCTCCATGAGTTATAAACAAAACGCATCTAAATCACAAGTTTTGTGCGATAATTCTTTAGGCTTAGGGGGATTTATAACTTGTATTACGTTTTTACACAATTAAATGTATAATTTTTTTTATAAAGTAACTTAACATTTGAAGTAGTTGTGCTAAAAAAGGAAATCTTTTAGCTCTTTAAAATTTTCCTAAACTGTCTTGACTAGGTTTAAATAAAGTCCTGGACTACCTGGTTAATCTACGTGTCCAGGGCTTTAGGTTTAAAGACCAACTGCGTCATCAAAAACACATTCAACTTCAAAATATACAATGTTCATTCTTTCTCCTTCTAAACTTGTTTTATGGTAGAACAGTATGATCTGCCATCCAAGACACCAACTTGAAGGGGACTAAAATATTATTAATGGTTTATTTTTTAACAAAATTTTCTAACATAGATTAATTAATAATTTTTTAGTTGTTTGTAAATAGTGAAATAATAATATATTATTTGATGCCTGTGTAAACATTGTCACAAAATTTTATCTATGGATAACAGTGTTCACATTTATGTTTTACTAAACAGCGGTTTAAATATTACGTAAGGTGCTTACAGAGGAGGGAAATTGTGATTCGCTTATTTTTGTTGCAGGAGGAAAGGAGTGGTTCGAACAATGCTTAGGTAAACATTTAAATTCCCTTATTTTAAAAATTTTCCTAAAAAATGGAACAAAAAAGGAAAACGGGGGAAATTTCAAATTTAAAATGAAGTTAAATTCGGGAAAATTAAAAAATTACTACGAAAAATTTCGAAGGTCCAGAGATTTGAAAACGAAAGGAAAACATAAAAGATTCCTAAAGAATATTCTTCCCAGAATTTAAATTAAATTAAAACCGAAATTTTCTTTTATACAATGCTACATTTTTTATCTGAATTAAATCTTTTTATTTTTGCTGACAAGCGGGAGGATGAATCCAAAACTTCTAAAGAATATATTTCCCTGATATTTAAAAGGCCCATAAATTAGAGTTTTTAAATATAAATAAATAAATAAATTACTTTCAAATCAAATTCTGTTCCGAAGTCAAATGTAAGTATTGATTCAAAGAATTTTATTATTATTTAATAGAAATTTATTTATTTTATCGTTTTTATGTAAGTTTCAGGTCTTTTTTTTATCTATAAAACTAAAAAAGAATTGCTTCTTTTAAAAGAAATTTAGATAAATAGAACAGACACACAAAAAGCCCCATTCGAAGATGTTTTGGTGCCTACAATCAGATGGTGATTCGCATTTACATCGAGCGTTGCCTTTTATTAACACTTATTTAACAGTCAGTAGATACTAATATTTGCTATATTTAGAGCGCTAGTGTGTTGATAAACCACTTGAGCATCTTTGTTCTTTTGCAAAAGTTCTTCTCTTTTCTTTGCCTGCCTCCTCTCCTTCGCTCTTCTGTTTTGAAACCATATTTTGATCTGCCTCTCTGAAAGGTTAAGGGATGCAGCCAATTCCACCTTCCTTCTTATTGTAATATAACGACTATAATGGAATTCCTTTTCCAACTCTAACCGTTGGTGGTCTGTGTACACAATTCGATATTTGTCTTTTGTCCTGGTTCTGCCTGGAAAGAAAAAAATTGTTAAAATTAATCACAATGTGAAAATAATATAACATATAAAACAGAATTAAGGAACATCCAGTTTGTATTTTGTGAACTTCAAAAGGCTTGAATTCAATTAAATCTTATACTATAATACGAGGAATGGTTGCCAAATCGAAAATCGCCCCAGAATTAATAAACTCCGGTAAACTTGGGGGTCTGGGGTTTTTGGCCACGAGGAATCGATTGGCGCCGGTTTTGAAGCGCTACGGTCGAGCAGTTCGGAGTTACAGATAGGATATTTTCAAACTTTATTAGTTCGCCATAATGGCTATAGATACTTTTCTCCACTCTTATAAATGTATGCTAATGCGAACTTTACAATAAGGAAAAGCGACGGTGACAACTTAAACCAATAATATACG